CTTTATTCTAGTCCTTGTATACAGTATACATTTTTATCATGAACATGTATAATTTTTATGAAAAGATAAAACTTTAAAAATAAATTTTGGGGAACTGTGCACATTTTGATGCTTAAAAACAAAGGTTAGTTAACTTTTTCTGTAAATGGACAGACAGTAAAATTCTAGTGTTGCCAGCCAAGGGATATTATATAAGTGCTTATATAACAAGAGGAAAAATAAATTTCCACAAAATTTTTGACAAAATTCAAAATATAATAATAATCAGGTGCAATTTTTTTAGTAATATATGCCTATTTAGAATGGAATTTTAAAAAAATGTCACTTAACTGGGGCTCAAAGTTAGTGTTTCCTATCATCCAAACTGATTGCAAATTTCATGTTAGTGCTGATCTGTAAAGAGATATTACATATTCTTTTTTTGCTGTTGAGGTACAGTTGATGTGCACTATTATATAAGTTTCAGGTGTATAGCACAGTGATTCACAATGTTAAAGGTTATATTCCACTTACAGTTATTATAAAATATTAGCTACATGCCTCGTGTTGTACAGTAACATATTACTTCTTTGAAAATATTTTTCAATAGATAGTTACTGCCAAATATTGATTTATTAATTCACAAGTGTACAATTTTAGTGGAGCATATTCATTCTTATATAATTAGATCCTTTTCTTGATATTTGCCTTTTAGTGTGTCATGACATTGCAGATTAATCACTTCTAATTGAAGATTACATGGAAGAGCCTCAGTGACAAAGTTAAATGGATTTTGAAATATGGAACTGTCCTTTCCACTTGCACTGATGTCTGACAAACTCTGCAGGATCTGTAGTTAAAGCTCAGAAAATATATGTGCTGCAGATTTATGTGGGAAGGGACATCTTGTTTTATCTTTTCAAGACAGACCTGAACCTGGGACCCTTAGCTGCAGAGCTTGCTCTCCTCCAAAACAGAATACAAAGAAACTATAAGGGACTAAAAATAACTGCATACATGCACAGTTGGGGCGAATTATGAACAACAAGATACAAAAAGACCAAAAACCCAACTGCCATTTATGAGCTGTGAGGAGCAAAAGCAGGGCAATGAGCATGATCCCCCACTCAGCACCACCAAGAGGGTGGGCAGACCACCTAAGCCACCCCTCCAGCCCAACCCCTGGACCTGCCCCTATCTCCACCCCATTTAGGGACCAGCTCCCCTTGTTCTGTAGCACGAGTCCCAGTAAAGCCTTGCTTGAATTTCTTGTCTTGCCTCTTATCAGTTTCTATTGATTAAGGAGACCAAGAAGACCCAAGAGCCCGGGTCAGTAACATTTTGACAGCAAGGGAAGTGTACTGAACAGCTTGATATTACTTGTGATTTAAAGTTTGTTGAAATTATTTCATCACAGAATAAATTGCATATATAAATGCCATTTTTTATTTGTTTTTTAATGGAGGTACTGGGGATTGAAGCCAGGACCTTGTGCATGCTGAGCATGTGTTCTACTACTGAGCTATACCTGCTCCATAAATGCCATTTTGTCTTATGATTTTAGGTTGACCTTATTAAGAAATAGTATCAAGTCTGCAACAAAAACTAATGTCCAAAGTCATTCAGTGTTTGAGCACAGTAGGTGAGGACAGTCTTCATTGGGAAAATTTTTAATCTCAGCCCCAAGCTCAAAAAGATTGCAAACTGCTGTATGGTAGGGCAAGTCAGGATATTCAGCGTCTATTTCTGATGAAAATTTGCAGAAGTGATGGTCTTTAAGCCCATGAGAACGAACAAAGTTCACCACTGACACTACTGGTTCATTAATACATAATGGATTCAAATATTTTCCAGTAAGTATCTGCCAATGAATAATATGATGAATAACCATAGGCTTTGAACATCTTATATTTTCATAAGCTTTGTAAATTTGTCCAGCTAAGACTTCTGCTCCACATATATTTTTATCATCATCAGATGTGACATATTAGCAGATTCCACTTAAGGCTGTATTGAATTAGTGTTTTCTCAACTTCTTTGAAATATTCTTCCCTGTACTTTTTCCATGCAGATTATTCAAAAAGTCTAATTGTTCAGGAACTACAAACTCTGTGTTGGCTTCTTGAATAACAGCAACAACTAAGCAGTATCAGTAACATCTGTAGACTCGTCAAGCCTAGGAAAACCACTCAAAATCATTTGCCTTGTTTTTTAATTCATTCTTAATGTTTCTCCCAATGTTCCCAAGTCTTGGAGCAACTGTTCTCACGCAAAGGCAAACATCTTCAACAAATTTTCGGTTTTGTGGGACAAGAGGTAGAATCAAGTAGATTATGTAGTTACTTCCTTTCTATGTACTAATTTTTTAATGATGAAAATTTATGTTTATTTTAGGGCAAATCTACCATATTTGTTAAAATGAGTGACGATAGCTAGAGTTTACTCACATGTCATTTGTGTACAATCATCAGTTAGTGTGAATAACAAGTTGTCTGAATGACTTGATTTCCTATTAATCCCACTGACTAAGCCAGCTGTCACTTCACAACATGTTGAAGATGAGCCACCAGAAAACAGGCCAAGAAACTGTCCACCACTACAGGGCTTTTTGTCGATTTAAGTGTGATCTTTAAATGGATTAGTAGTTCTCTAGCATAGAGTCTCTAATTTGGTATAGCAACCAACTTCACTTCTTGCAGATCATAAATTAGTAAAAATCTTCTAACCTGACAATCACTTTTAAAACAAACTCTTCATTGATCATGAATACACACCTTTAAACACATGGCTTTAAACACCATTATTTTGCCCATTCTGAAATGCTTTTTTTAATCCCAACATTGTCAGGTCATAAATTTAAAAATAATCATTATCACTGCTTGATTGCACTAATGCTTAGTAGCCTGTGGTCTATTCTTCATCATGCAAGTTTATAAAAAGAAACTTTGGAACTTCAGTCATGGTCAGCCAGAAGTCTTTTCCCTTCCACAATTAAATAAGTCAATATTTCTGGAAGTACTGTTCAAGTTGTTTGGCGCCCCCTCTGCATTGCCACTGGATAAGGAGACATGGAACTCGTCTTTCAGCAAAAGGACTTGACTTGGTAAGTATTAAGAGATCATTACTTCCTTTTCTCCTTGAATAGCTGACACAGGGCAGGAAGGCTCGGGCTCTTTCCGAGACTGAAGATGCTTTTCAGGAAATCCATTCCATTGGCATTTTCTTAGCGTATCATAAGCTTGTCCAGTCTCCACATTCTGTAAGTTTCTCATTTACAGACCCATCTCATCATTTGAGCTACCCTGTAGGTTTAGGATTCTTATTCCCACGTGGGTAGTGAATGGCGAGTAAGGCCTCAAACCAGGTCTTTGGGTGCTGTCTGGTCCTTTCATAAGAGCCACTTAGATAAGAGAAAGGGTTGGGGAAAGACACCTGAGTCTGGGCTTCGGCTGTGGGATGAGAGCACATTAAGGATGCTGACAACACACCTCACCTGCTGTACCACTTTGCGCAGCGCCAGCCAGAAGTGGGACTGATGTTTTTCCCTACAATTCTTGGTTATGCCACCATCAACCTCACTGTTAAGTATATTCTAAATTCCCATTAAGTATATTTTCCACTGAACCGAATTAAGCTAACAGCCGGCCCTGCAATGCCCCCTTGTGCCGCCCGAGGGAGGCTGAGCAGCTGCGGCATGAATGGCCCTCAGCAGCGAGCCTTTGGCCGCAGCCCCTCCGCGGGGCACACAAACCCTGGGTTGGCGACGCGGCGGACACACGGCGAGTGCTGGCGAGGAGGGTCCCCGGCCTCAGGGCGGGGCTCCCGCCATGCGTTCGCTCCGCTGCCGGGATGGGGGTGGGCGGGGCGGGGCGG